ATTTGCACTTTTTGCCATCATGTTTATGGGGCCACGTGCACTAGTTTTGTCCTTCAAGAAGCACAGAGCAAGTAAGACCTTCAGAAGTTTGCACTGCAAATATTAGGTTTTCCAAAGTGTTCCACTTGCTCTGGGGTTTTTTTTAAACATTTTTGTGCCATCTCCTTTTTCAGCTTTTCCACAATCTGGTGACCTCCAGAGGTCTTAGACTACAGCATAATCTAACAGCAACCACATTTTCCTTGAAGCTTCATACATCTAGCAATGCAATAACTATTTTTCCTTTCTCCGCTCTGCACCTGCTTGAACATCTAAGAGCTTTTGAAAGAATACTGTGTGACACAAGTTTGCTTTCAGATTTTGAACACCGCAAATAAAACGCTTAAGCGCCTGATTTTGGAACTAGAAGCTGTAGGAGGCAGGTGGCTTCTTCCCAAAAGGCTGCCCCGTGATTCCTTTTTCTCCTCCTCCACTGGCCAGGTGTGTTGAACTACAACTCCTACCATCTCCAACTAGCATAGCCTGGTCGCATGGGGATGATGGAAATGGTAGTCAGGAAGGCTGTAGGATGAGGAAGTCTGATCCAGAGGTATAGCACTGTTATTATCCCATTCCTTTTCACTGACTGCCAGAGGCTCAGGGACATTCACTTTGCTCTGGTGTCCTCAGAAGTCAGATAGCGCCGCACCCCCCCCCCCCATCATAATGTTTCCAGCTTGTCCTCCCTGATGCTTGTTTTTGAGGATCAACCCCACTGCTCAGACAGGAAAGCAGGAGAGCCTGTTTGGTGAAGCACCGAATCTTGAACAAGGCTGTTCTGAAATATAGGACATCCATTGCTATGGAGCTGTCAGGCTCAGGCAGAAGGGCGGCCCTTTTGCTGAGAGATACCTTTCAGCACCTGCTCAGGTGCCCTGAGTAAACGGCTGGTGATGAAAGAATGTCACAAGCTGGAAGATGAACTGCACTTCCCTGCCAGAAGGGCCCTGAGTGGCAGAGGTGCGGGCAAGCTTATTTGCAAAAAGGTGCTGTGCAGCTAGCCCCGTGTCTTGGGGTTTAAAATTGGATATCTTGTGCGCGCGCGCGCACACACACACACACACACACACACACACACACCAGCAGTATATGTATAAATAAAATAACCCAGGGCAGCACAAACAAACAGCAATGGGGAACTGAACTGGTAGCTTCGGGCCTCCATTACAGCGCTGGCCAAGGATAATATATCTTTAAGTACTTGTAATCTTTTGAAATTCCCCTCAGCCATGCCTGAGAGAGGACATGGAGATTACCGAAGGGGAGGGAGTGAGGGAAGTGACTTGGGGGAGAACTTTGCCAGACGCACTTTAAGAGACTAATGGATTTCTAATGTTTACATTCTTTCTATACAAACCCTGCTTTATAAATGATCCTGGCATTATAGCTGTAAAACAAAGTCATAAAAATAGCCTGCAGTTCAGGCATAGAGCATAAATGCCTTTTTCCTCAGGCAGATGAACGGAGAGGCAGAGTGGAGCGCAATCAATATTTATGTGTCTTATCTGTGTTTCTATGGTGCAGTCAGGGAGATGGCTACATAGCCATAGGTATGTTACCGATCTCCGGAGCTGGGCTGAGACTCTCCCTCCCACCCACCAAAAGGTGCCTGTTGCACGTGTCGGAACAAGGAGGCCAGCTCCTGGAGCTTTCTGCTTTGATGTCCAGCCCCCTCTTTCTTTTCCTCCTTCCAGCCCATCATGCACCAGAGAGCATTTCCATTACCATCTCACTCTATTTTACTGGCTGAGCTTGAATTTAAGATATAGATGGCAGCAGTTTCAAAACCGTGTATGTTACAAGGAAACTGCAGCAGGCCGAGTCACCATGAAGTTTGGAAGGGATGCCCTTGAAGCTTTAGGTCAGCTCTTGCAGTCCTGCTGACCTAAATCTTTGCAGGCGAGGGAGTATTGGGAGGAAGCCTGAGGGACCAGTGGAATGTGACATAAAGGCCCACAAAGAAAGCAAGACAAGATGGGGCTGGCTTGTCCTCAGGCTTGAATTTCTCAGCGCCAGGATGGTTCTGGGATATGCTTGGAGCTGTTCCAGTGCTGAAATGATCTCTACTGAGTACTGTGAAGTTTGGATTTTTGGTCATCCACATATGGTGCATTATTACTTTGTGCCAGGTTTTAAATCACATAGAGAACTGATTCATGCAGTGATTGTAATGTAATGAAAGTATTGTTCCCATTTCCTTCTCCTCCTCCTTCATCATCATCTCTCTCTTTCCAACATGATTCTTAGTCATGGTTCATGAAGACCTGGAAAATGATCCAGGTGTGACAGAGTAGGATATTTTGAGCAATAACCCAAGCGTGTGCCACAACATTCAGGGGGGATTTGAGGGTGGCACCTTATGAGAGAGAGAGACAGAGACAGACAGAGACACACAGAGAGAGAGACAGATCCTCAGCAACTGATTCTGCTTTTCCAATCCCCAGATGTTAATGTGTATTACACCAGAGAATTCTGGTGACCCTGGCATCTGCCATACCCAAATGCTAGTTATCCTCCCTGTTAAAAAGTGTTTCTTTCTATGCGTTTGTTTAAATATATAAAAGTGGCTTTTATTCAAAGCCTAAACAACAGGCCATCTAAGATAACAATTTGCAATTACCAGACCACTCTGTTTAGCTATGGGACTTACACCACGCAGCATTTTATTCTTAATGATCATCCATTGTCACTCCAGAAGGTCCTCTTCATCCAAACGCATCATCTTGCCTGCACCCCAACTTTCTAGCTCCTTGGTTTTACTCTGGGGCGCTCCTGGGTAGCCAGGTAACAGCTTTGGACTGCAGCTGTGCAGCAAGTGCCACGGGCTCACCAGGAAAGCTTTGTATGTCCCAATTACACAGCGTCCCTGTGCAATTGGTTGGGTGCTGAGAAAATTACAAACCTGCAAATGCAATTAGGGAGGGGAGGCCTGGCAGCAGCAAAGAGGAGACCAGGGAGCATGAGCAAAACAGAGGCTGTAGCTGAGAGACAGAAATTAGCCTGGAGTTTAATTCGGTGTTTCCAAAAGAGCAGTTAATGGATTATGACAAATGTCCTACTGCTTTCCCTAGTGCTGGGTTAAAATGGAAATGGAAAGTCAATTTTCCTAAATGGATTTTAAATGGCTGACTCTGTGTGTGCGCGTGTGTGTTTTCACAGAGAGATTTTTGGTCCGGAGGTATCTTGTGCATCTGCTGCCTTGGGCCTTTTTTCCCCTTTGGGGTTTATTTCCTAAAGGACTGGTGGTTTGTGGCCCACTCTGGCAACCTTTAACTTAGCTGCTGTTTTCTTTGGATTATACCAATGCATTCCTCTAGCCTGAGATTCTGAGTGGTGTTGCCAAGTCCTCTGTTGCTTCTCCTGCAGAAAAGCTGCCATTGAATTGCAAAGCAGGAGGGAGACATTTCTGATACACAGTCTATTTTCTCCCCACGGCATTTGTTTTATCATTTTGGTCCCCTTAGTACCTCCAGGACCAGCACTTAATCTGCAGGCTATGACTTGGGACCCACTTTTAAGTTATTGTAGCAGCATTCCCCAGCCTACCATCTTCCAGATGTGGTGATTGCATTATGAGGGTTGTAATCCAACACATCTGGAGGATATCACATTAGAAAAGGCAGTATTATGGTATGTGTGTGTCTCCCCGCCACACTCCCCCTGTAACTATGTATGTAGGCAGTTCACCTATTTTTAAACTGTTCCTTCTTCCTCTGTCTCTTTTTTCTTACTTTGCTTAAAAAAGAAAGAAAGCAACCTTCCTCACATGTGATGGCACAGCTCAATAACACATTCTGTCCAAGCAGCGGAAAATGGTGTATCATCCAAGACCCCATTTCTTCAGTGCTCCAAGGTTCTTGGAACTGTTTCCAGTGGCATGTGATATTGCTTGTAATCTCTGGCCAAAGTGTGCAGTCCCAGAGGTTGGATTCATCCCCCACTTTTCAAGGACATATCTTTATCCTGCAAGGTTCAGGAAGACCCTTGGGAATTCCAGGAAAGTGTAAAGCAGTGTGCGCTTGGATGCATGAAATGTTGCAGAAACCCTGTAGTTGGTTTAGCAGTGTCACTACTTGCAGGTCCAGAATAGCTTTCCCTGCTCTAGAGCGTGCCAGAGCACAGCACCCATAATCCCCAGTTGGCAGGATCATGAGGTACTGTAGTCCAACCCTGTGTTTCTTCCCTTCCAGATGCCCCTCTTTGTATATCAGAGTGTTGACATTTCCTCCCAAGAGAGCATTTTTCTCCAGGTCTCAGAGCCATCCAGCCCAGGATATCCTGTGACTCCTCAGGCCTGCCAGACTGGCTCCAGTTTTATCGTACAATTATCACTCTGTTGCTAAGCTGCTTGAAAATAATCAAGATGCCTATCGCAAAGGCTAACCCTTCTCTTGGGAGTAATACTAATGTTTAGCATTTTAAATTGATTTTATTGTGAATTTTAGCAATGCAAAACCAAAAAAGAATAAAGTATTACAGTTTTCTACCATAAGGTTTGAATTATCCTTTGCAATACATACTTATGCAACATATACCCTATGTATTTTATTTATGATAATATATACAAATATTCCTGGCCAAATTTAGCTTTTAGCAAAGGTCGATCCCTATATTTATCCATTTGTAGAATACACCTAAAGAACACCCATTCAAAAATAGAAAGCATCATGGTTTATTGAACTGAGATTGCTGCAACTGAATCTTGCTGGTGACTGAAAATGTATTGCATGGTGTGAAGATGGGTGATGGGACAAGAGTGAGAATGACTAGTTATTTTTCAGCCTATGGAAATACATAAATGTGTAACTCACCAGAAGTCAAAATTCACAAGAGAAAAGTTGTTGCCAGTCTGACTTTGTTCTGAAGCCAGGAACTGATGATACTGGGTTTTACAGTGTTTCTTAGTGCTTGACAAGTGCAGAACTGCTTCCTTTTTCACACATTTCCTCTTTTCCTTGCAGGGATTGAATATGGAGAAGTGCTTCCAGATTCCTTCCCATCAGCCCCTGCGGAATCCCTTCCCCACTTCCTGCTGGAGCCACAAGATGCCTACATTGTGAAGAACAAGCCTGTGGAGTTGATCTGCAGGGCCAACCCGGCCACACAGATATACTTCAAGTGTAACGGCGAGTGGGTGAATCAGAACGATCATCTCACAGCAGAGAGCTTGGATGAAGTCACTGGTGAGAAGTCTTTGAGAATCATGGTGGGCGTGTCGTGAGCGGAGCCGGCTGGAGCCAGGTGTCAGGCTAGATGGCCCCGGAGACCCCTTCTGACTCGCCCTGTTTCTATGCTTCTGTTTTTCTGCATTTGAAAAGGTTGAACGTTTTATCCCAAGATTTAGTAAAATATGGTGGTTCTTTTGGGCTTTTGATGCCAGCCACCACTGGAATGCAGGCCTTCTGTGTCCTTGGGCTGAGCAAGGTTGTACACCCCTGCTTCTGTGTATGTCCCCTCTGTTAAATTCAGCACTCACCCCCACCCCCCCCAGCCTTTGAGTTCTTTGTTTCTGATAGCAGGGAATTAAAATTTACAAATGTCCCAGGCAAAAGTTCTCTCTGTCTCGTATCCAGTTGAATAGGTTGGTCCGAGGGAGAACTCTGCAACAGAGCAGTAATTTTTCAGGCTGTGATTTCCTGGAACTTTTTCAGAGGTTCTGGAATGAGGGAACCAGCCATAGGGGCAAAGTTCTCTGCTAGCTGGCCTTTTCCCTGCCAAGTGTAGCCACAAGGGAAGCCGGCATATTCTCAGGGACATTCTCGCCTCATTCTTTGGCCTGGTCAGTGCTCCCTTTCAGCAAGGTCTGTACCCTAGAAAATTCCCCAGACTCCTCTGCAGTTCCCAAGGGTTCCTTAGCAGGCAGAAAGATGTGGAAAATACTCTCTTATGGTGAAATGTTATCTATGGATAGATAGGCCAGTCTTATTTCTGATTCATGCCATTTTTTTCATGTATTCATCTGCAAGAATGTTTTAACTGAATTTGAACAGATAAATATAAACATTATAACAGTAGCATAAACAAAGGTACATCATACATTCCTAAGTTTTATACATTGTATAATCTCCAGGATTTCAATGTGGGGAAATAAGACTTGCCTTGTATCAGGATTCTCTAACATGGTACCATCCAAATGTGTTGGACTACAGACCCCATAACCCCCATCAACATGGCCTACAGGTCCCATCATCCTCAACACATCTAAAAAGCACTATATTAGGAAAGACTGACATATAGAGTTCAAATAACCATTAAGGCCACGTAATCACATGAAATAATGGCATACAGTTCTAAAAATAAATCCATACATGAGTCCAGGCAGTGTTGATCCAGGCAGTTGATATCAGAATTCATTAAAAAAAAAACCCAGATACCTCAGCCTTCCTCATACTAGGCACAGCTGGCTGGATATCTCTGGCTTTGAAACCAACAGATTCTCAAGTAACCAACATCCACGTTATATTTAAAGATAGGACTGGAAAACAATCTTAACACCCACCCCATTCCATCTCAAAACAAAAACCATGTACCTCTCTGGCTTTTCCTGGGTCTCAGAAGAATCTCACAGATTTTCTCCTTTTGTAAAGAAGTTGAGACTGGAGAATCCAAACCTGAAAATAAATTAGTTTGGATTCATTTTTTCTTTTTCATCAAGTGAGAACATCTTGCAAACAACAGTGGGTGGTATAATCTTGGATGAAATTTAGTGTGATGCAAGTTACTTATAAATAGCATTAAAACTTCTGCCCATTAAAACTACTCCTGTCAGTTTCACTCTATGAACTCATTACAAGGTCGCTCATTGTATGGTTTCCACCTGGAGGCATTTGCTGCTCCTTTTGAATGTAAGAAAGTCTCCTTAGTATGCTAATTGCTTTAGCAATGTAAATCTTCCAAGCTGGTTAGTGTGCCTACCTGATGACACATTGACAACCTGGACCTGATTGTGGCCAAAGGTGAATTAGCATGAGCTGAAAATAGAAAGAAGCAACAGAGGACTTTTTTTTTTAAAGGGTTGTCTTTGAATAGGCAAACTAATTTTTCCTAGCCATAGTAAAGAATTCCACAACCTCTGAACAACAGGTACTTGCACGCACTGGTGCAGTCATACTGTTGATGGTGTTGGAATTATGTACAAAGGAAATTGGAGGACTGCAGATGCAAATACAGGTTTATCCCATGTTAGTCCTAGTCAGAGTGGACTTGTTGAAATTCATGAACTGCTGATGTTTGTTAGGATGAGTGTAGGTTCCGTTAATATGCATTCATTTCAGTGCGTCTAGATTAAGTAGAATTAATTGGATACAACCCATAGTCTCCCGCTTGCCTGAGATGGGATCCCCTTTGCACATTACAAATGAATACCAGCAACTGATTTGGGAAAGAGAAGGCAGGGACCGGACTGGTGGCATTTCTTGCTAATGCCTCACACTACTTAGTCTGTAACCGTCTAGCCAATGATTTTAGCATCCTTAGCAGGAAAGCCAAAGCTGTGGCCTTGTTAATGGTTTCAGAGAGATATAACTGATTTCATTAACCGTTTCCTTCACCCTTGCACCTTGTCGTAAAGTGCCATCAAGTTGTCTCCAACTTATGGCAACCCTTTGAATAAAAAACCTCCAGAACAGAAACATGAAAACAGAGCGAGTCAGAAGGAGCCTCCCGGACCATCTAGTCTGACCCCTGGCTCCAGCCGGCTCCGCTCACGACATGCCCACCTATCCACAACAGCCCTGCTCAGCTCTTGTAAATTCAAGACTGTGATTTCCTTCATGGAGCCAATCCATAAAGTATTTGGTCTTCTTCTTCTTCTTCTTCTTCTTCTTCTTCTTCTTCTTCTTCTTCCTTCTACTTTCCGCAACATGTTTGTCTTCTCTGGGGAGTTTTGCCTTCTCATGATATGCCCTTAGTATGACAGCCTCAGTTTTGGCATTTTTGCTTCCAGGGAAATTCAGGCTTGGTTTGATCTACAAGCCACTCGTCCATCCAGGGTGTTTGCTAGACTCTCCTCCAGCACCATGGTTCAAATGCACCCATTCTCTTTTGCAGCTCCCCAGTACGGAAGGGGTTGTAGCTCCACATACTTTGCATGGAGGAGGTCCCAGACGAGTCTGTGGCATCTCCAGGAAGTGCAGGGAAAGACTCTTGTCTGAAAACCTGGAGTGCACATCAGGGAAAGGCCACATTCACACTTCAGAAGAAACCAGACCTCTACACAACCCTCATTTATCGTGAATGAGGCAGCATACTGGAACACATTCCTTCATCAGTTCTGCACGGTTCCACCTGCAAACAGGAGTGGTTTAACAAGCCACAGATGTTCCATTTGTGGTTTGATTCTTGTGACATGCGAACCAGGAACTCTGCTTCATTCTCCCCAGGCAAGCCGGAGTCATAAGCCATGGCCTATTCTTGTCTTACGGCTCCGTCTTATCTGTGGGGGCTGCAAGTCACAATAGGCAAACTGCAGACAGAGGCGCTGCAGCTTCTTTAGCTGCTTGCTCTTGCAGCAGGTGTGATCAGGCAGCGTGGAGCAGCACCCCGGCTCGTTCAGTGCTTTGAATGGTTTGGAACTCCGACTTCTTGTAGCACGTGCACCGGGTCGTTGTGTAGACAGTGCTGAGCAAGGTAGAACCATGGTCTGGCTTGATCTAAGGCAGCTGCTTGTCTTTGCATTCTTACTGTGCAGGCAGACATCATGCGCACCATAGTAGGGTCACGGGAGGCCTGCCCGGTTTGTACACTGCAGTGACCCTTTTTAAGTGCATGCTCACATGCGCATGTTGAAATAAAAGTGGGATTGGTGAGGGCCATTAGAGCAGCAGTAGCAGCTAGCGAGACAAAAGTAGGTAGGGGGATAGCTTTGAATAGTAGAGCCAATGGACAACATGATAACCTGCACTCCAGCGTTGAAGATGGGTTGTTGTTGGACCATGGGTTGCATTGAAATGTGTGCTTTCATGTTGCCTGAGCCCAGCTACATGAACACAAATCCCATGGTGGTTTGGGTTGTTCATAGTTTACAAACCATAGCTTGTTAGTGTAACTGGGTTCAGACAACACAGTAACCCACATTGCAACAGCCCATAGATTAATGACGATCCACACTCAAGGCTTGTCTGACTCGGCCCTTCGGTGGAGCATATGGCAGAGAGAGATGCATGCATAATATTTAAAACATCCCCTACTTCCTATACAATCCGATTTTAATAGACAATTTGAACATGGACTGTTTTCACAAGATTTCTCAACACATTTGTACAGAACTTTCAAGCTGATCTCAAGATGGGTTACCTGAGCCAGTTTAGGGACTGGAATCCATCTGCAAGGAGATACGTAGGTTACACATTAGCACTGTTGCCCTGCCTTGTTCAGCACTCTGTCAGGGATTTTCTGCAGTAAATATCTGTCTTGCCTGATGATTTTTAAAGAAGGGGCCAGAGTATGAATTGGGTCCCATCACCGTTCTTCATTAATGAGAAGTGACTGCAAGTTATATAACTGTTGCCAGCAGGCAGCTGAAATTCTTCTCTCACTCTCATTTGTTCGGTTCCCTGCTCCTTGTCTTAAAAATAAATAAATAAATAAATAAATATAGCATGGATATGTAACTGTAGTTAAAGCTTCCATTAAAGAGGTCCATGCTGCACTACTGAACTCATGTAAGTCCATATTAAATGACTTTAAGGACTAAATTATTCAATTGGGATGGAAGTTGCCAGCCTCTGCAACAGGCAAGAGACTTTCTTGTCCCTGGAGAACACTTGCCACAATCCCTGCAGTCCCGACTGTGTGCCTGTCACACCAGCGAAAGGAACCAGACCTGTCAGGATGTGACTCGGAGCAGTAGCCCACTCTGGGGAGGGTTGGCTATAATAGAATCACAATGGCTATTCTTTTAATCAATAAACTTCATTCATTTATTTGTGTACTGTTACATTTTTATTCCCGTTTTCACCTCTTGCAGGGTGGCTCACCTGCTCCTCCATTTTTTTCTTCACGATCCTGCAAGAAATGGTGGGTTAGGCCATGAGCCACCCAGGGAGTAAGACTGGACCCAGTTCCCTCAGGTCTCAGAAAGCACTTTAGCCATTATAGCAGCACTGGCTCTTATTTTCCCAAAGAACTCAGAGTGCAGCATTTACACACGTCTCGGTTTGTAAGGGAGAATTTCTGGTTTAAA